TTATAAATTATTTCAATGGTTGATTTTGTTTTTGCTATATAGCAATCTTGAATATATAAACTTTATAATAAGGATGGTGAATAAATATTTTTCTTAAATATTTATATACGATCCGATAGCCGAATGTTTATGATTAGAAGCCCTTTACAGACGTCCATAGGTAATTAATAATATCTTTATCAAATAAAAAAAAATATTTATTTATTTCTAATAAATAAATTTATATAGCAAGAAAAGTAATATATATTTTATTTAAAAGATAAATGACTTTAATATCAAAAATGAGATAAAATTAGAATGGTATATGAAGATACGTTTGCTCCCTTGGTATATTTTATACTCACTAATTTTATATTTACAAATAACATAACAATTTTAGATATTTGTATATGGTGAATTCCATATCAAATCAACCAAGGTTCCAACCCGACCCCTTTCAATTTTTCTTAAATTTTGCATAATAGTAGTATATACTATAACTAAGAAAAAAGTTAAATTTTACCTCCCAACAAGGTATACCCGCTAAGATATGGGCGTTCAAAGCGCGGAAAAATGGTACATTTTTGACAAAATGTCCCTCATTTATTTTCAAATATCTCGTGAAATAATTAAGTTAGAGAAATAATTTAAATTTTATTATGTAGCTTAATAATAGTTCTTTAATATGACATACAAATAAATATGATATAAATCTAATTAATATCGACCGGAAGTATAAATCGGTATTTTTTTTTTCAAAATTTTTTTTTGTAGATAGATAACTGCTTTATGTTTGTACAAATTCCTAGACTGGGATGAACATGGGTCTAAGAGTTATGCTTCTTTATATGGCTAAAATTGAACAAATTTAACATAAATATCTTCATTTAATGAATATTTATAAAATGTTTATTTAAAAATTATGTCTATTTATTTTTAACAAAATTTTTGAGAAGTGGCTGGGATATTGTAATTTATTTAACACTCAAGTTATATTGTGACTACTTGACATAATTCTAAACATATTTATAACTTTATTTGTCTGAAATGCATAATTACATATAATATAATAATTCATAATTATGTATAAAATATATCAAATATTAAATCATCTAAAGAATTAAATAAATTTTGACTTTTATTTTGTTTTCGTCAAGGGGAATAAAAGCATGGTACTTTTGTGTTCCCGAAATTTTTTTGCTCTAAAAAAACCTGCTTTCTATATGATTTTCCATGTTGATATATTCATTATTGCTTACAAATATCTAATTTACTCCATATATTATTTCTTGTACAGTTAAATAAATCCATTATTGTCAATATGTGATTTTGATATGGGCGTTGCAAGCTTGCTCGACTAGTCGTTTTGTAACCCCCCTAAACTGTTGCAGGGACTTTTGCCATGAGCCGTTGCAAAAAAATGCCACTCCGCCTTTATCCCAAAACCATTTTCATGATTATAGATTTATACAGTTCTTTTTATTTTTATATTAGGTTACTGCTCCATCAAGAAAAATAATAAATTTTGGTTTTCTCAATTAAATAATCTACGAATTCGTCAGCTGATTTTGTCAGCGTTTTGAGGGTAGTTCGATCAACTGCTAACCATTGTTTGAATGTTAATAATCGATTGAATTTATGTCAAATAATATAATAAGTCTTTCTTTTATTTTAAAGATCCGGGGCAAAATTTACATTTATTTAAATAACATACTGGCTGGGCTGAATTGCAAAGACTTTCAGCAATACAATGTTTATAATCGTTGATTGAAGGATAATTATAATGACAAATATTGTTTGTTAGCTGTTGTAATTCTCCACCTATTAAAATAAGCCTAAAATTTTGATGTAATGTGCAGATACACATGGTATGTGTACCTGGACCACCTGCTAAAACACAGTTTTTAGGTCGTAAGAAAGCAAATCTACTCAAACCTAACTGTATATCGTCATGAGTCTCTCTAAAGTGAATGAAAAGTTCTTTAATATTATATAAAATTAGTCTTTTCTCAACTTGATTTTTTCCAATTTACATTCATTGATATAAAATTATTTTTGCCTGACATAAGCCTACTATTTTCCTAAGAATCATAAATTTTTTTTACTTTCTCCATAATATCTTCTTAAATAATACGACTTGGCTTAATAATATTGGGATTCGAGAGAATACTCTTTTCCCTAACTAACTGCTAAAGTTATAAATATGTTTAGAATTATTTTGTCAAGTAATTTCGAGTCACATATAACTTGAATGTTAAATAAATCACATTATCCCAGCCACTTCTCAAAAATTTTGTTAAAAATAAAAAAAAGTAAGGGCCTATCATTTAGACATAATTTTTAAATAAATATTATTTCATAAATATTTATTAAATGAAGATATTTATGTTAAATTTGTTCAATTTTAGCCATATAAAGACTCATAACTCTTAGGCCCATGTTCATCCCAGTCTAGGATTTTGTACAATCATAAAGCAGTGTAATATCTATATACAAAAAAAATACCTTTTTTTTCTATGGCCATTTCCGGTTTTCGATATTAATTAGATTTATATCATATTTATTTGTATGTCATAATAAAGACCTATTATTAAGCTACATAATAAAATTTAAATTATTTCTCTAACTTAATTATTTCTCGAGATATTTGAAAATAAATGAGGCACATTTTGTTAAAAATGTACCATTTTTCCGCGCTTTAAACGCCCATATCTTAGCGGGTATACCTTGTTGGGAGGTAAAATTTAATTTTTTTCTTAGTTATAGTATATACTACTATTATGCAAAATTTAAGAAAAATTGAAGGGGGTCGGGTTGAGAATCGACTTTTTTTGGTTGATTTGATATGGAATTCACCATATGTATTTTTTTAAAATTATAAAGATAATTTTTTTTATTTAAATATTTAGGCTAGGCAAGAATTATATGTGAAACTATAAACTCAACAGATTTAATTTTTTTTTTCTTCAAATAAAGTTGTAAATTTTATTTTGTGTATGATGACAAGCTATTTTTTATATTATTTTGGTTCGCGTATTTTAAAATCATTAGATAAAAATAAACAACTTCTTTTTTTTATATGTTTTTGTTAAAAATAAAAAAAACATGTGTGTTGATTTATATTATTTTATATTAATTTATACTTGAATAAAAAATGCATTAAAAATTGATTACAATTTAAAAAATAGTATTATTAGTTTAAGACAATTAGCCCACCATAATAACAAAAATTCTACGTTATCCATTCCTATATCAAAGGAAACGATGTATACAATATTTGGCTTAATTAAAACATGTTCGGAAAAATATTTAATTCTATAGTTTTGGGGTAAGTCTTAATATTTATTTTTTTAATAAACATAAATTTGTTTAATACAACCCTTCCATAATCAAAACTTACTTAATCGGGCATGGGCTTTAATCTGTCCTTTTTATTTCCCATGGGCGTTTAAGAATGGCTTTGCCACTTACACGCACAGGTAACTGCGGCTTGCCCAAAAATCGTGGATGGTCTTCTTAATTATTTTCCCATTTTTTATCCCAGTTTGATGGATTTTTTCAGAAGAGAACCAAGCGTTACTCTATTGTATATATAACTTTGTTATATTTACGACGTTTAGGGCTAGTGCGCTTAATATCATGTATCACGTAAAAAAAAATATATAACTTAATTTGGGTTATTATATTAGGTGATTCTAATTTTTGATAAATTTTTTGTTTGGCTATGAGATAAATTTAGGACTAGGACTAATGTTTTCCAGACCCGGGCCAGGCTTAGGGCCTAGCCTGCAGATCTCGGATATTTATTATAGGGTTCCTAATAAATTAAATCATATATTTTCTAATGTTATTTTTTATCCTTAGATAAACTAACATTGATTAGTATATCGTATAAAAGTAACCAAGTAAATTATAAAATTGACCTATCTGATATATTTCTTTATATTTGAGGTATATAAAAATTTAATTATACACATATATAAATAGTATAAGTATCTTAATTTATTAATGATTTAATGAGGGATGCGAACTGTACGGTTTAAAAAATTATAAAATAAAATGGTAAATTACATGTTTTTTATATATTATTTTAATATAATTTAAAATAAAAGTTTAAAATCAAAAAAAAAGCTTGGGCCTGAATCCTAAATTTTAAAAAAGGGTTCGCGTTTGGGTTTGGGTTCAGCAAAAATCAAGGGTGTGAGTTTGGGTTATCATCCCAGCATTTAATGATAATATTTTATAAATTGATATCTTAATTATCTTTTTGTTAATACAAAATTAACAACTATATATTTAATGATTTTATAAATTATTATCTTAACTATGTACATGTAAAAATGATTTTCCAAAAATTTATTCATTCATGATGTTTAATAAACTTACTTATTATTTTTAATACACAACAATAATAAAAGCCATTTTATTAATTTAAAAACAAAGAATTATAGTATCTTTATTTACATACATAACATATAAATCATTGAAATTTGTACATTGATTATAAGTCCATTCTTCACATTGCAGGCATATCTTCACATTTCTAGCTTTTTTAATAGCTTTCTTGCCATTCATCATTAGTTTTCTTTAGATTTTTCTTTTTATTGTTTTTTTAGTATTTGTTAATTTATGTTTTTATATGATCATAAGGTCATAATTTTTGATATCTTTTTCATATTGTTGATATGTTACGATCAAAAAAAAAATTAGATAATATATAAACATTTGACCAATTTTGAGAGAAATAAGTGCAATAGATAAAAAGTTATAGCGTGGTGGCCAGTTTTAAAACATGGCCATTTATGGCACAATTCCCTTACTTGTGCCATTTACATTTTTAATAGGGCTTTAACTTTTATGTAATATAGGTAAATTAATTACTAATTGCTTGTTTTCTAGGGAAAAAATTAATTTTCTAATAAATATAAGCACCTGTATAATATTTACAGATTTTATCAGTTATTATGAAATTTGGTGCTTAAGAATATAATTGTAAAAATTAAGTTGTGCAGAAACTTTTCCTACGTAGCTCATATATTCTTCAAGTTCTACCATTATTAACTGTGAATGCAGGGTTGACAGTTAGCACGATTAGGCGAAGTGTAAAAATATGCTGTATTTTTGTAAAGTTTATCTAATTTGTCTCCAATTCGCCCATATTAAATTTAGGGGAAAAATAATAAATTATATATTGATTCAAATTTGTCTGTTATCTTTCTATATAGACTTAAGAAAAATTATCATTTTTAATTTTTACTACTTAAATTTTATAAAATTTCAAGAACACTAAATACAAATAATTCATATGGAATAAATATTTTTGGAAAAAATTTAATTTTTATTATACCAATATAAATAGATCTTTTTAGTTTAAGGTTAACCTATCTACAGAAAATATATGCTCACTAGGAGAGCTTGTAGATGAAACTAATATTATTATTTTTTGGCTTAAATGAAAAGCATAGGAAGATTCAATATTTTATTTTTCGAAAAGGGTCTACCATTATATAAATTGGTATCACGTCAAATCGGCGCAGCGTCAATTCAGCGCGGCGTCTATTCCGCGCAGTGTTAAACATAAACTTATAAATTGAAGCTAAATAACTTAATTTTGGTTAATTTAATAAACATTTAGACATAAATAAATAAGAATCCTAAGGAGAGATTATGATTTTTGAATTTTTTTTTATTAACTGCCATAAGAGACGTGTATGGTTTAGCAAGCCGGTCTAGCTCTAAATTGACTAATCATGGTTGAAGTAATATCTAGATATAATAAATACTCATAAAACTTTCCCAAATTATAGTAGAGTATTTAAACTTTGCTAAGAATTAATTTACATAAAAATGATTATATATTTTAATTGAAATTAAAATTCTGTCATGTAAAAAGTTTTTGAAAAATTCATAAATATTTTATTTTTTATATAAATTTGGTAATAATTAAATAAAATATTTCAACAGATTTATTGTCTATAGATGTAAACTAATAAAAACTATATAAGGATACAATTTTAACCTTATTAAGTGGTATGCCAAGCCCCGGGATTTATATAACCCCAGTCTAATCTATTATGATTTGTAGCCATTATTATATAAGCCTGGATGCGGATAGTTGTAAGAAAGGTTTGGACCTCTATCAAACAAAATATTTTGGCTAAAATTTTAATCAACCGTTTTTAAAAATAGACCCAAATCGGCCCGGTGCCAAGACCAATTTTTTATATTATAAAAACGAATTAACGCGCAATTTATTTATATTATGGCTGTTGAAATTATAAAATTTACTAATTGAAAATGATATTATAAAAGTTTAAAAAAACATTATACCTTTTTGATAAAAACGATAAGATAGTAAACCAACATTATGTTTAATATTAAATCCCCCTTTTCCCGTCTAATTTTAGACAACATATATTTCTAATATCCCACCCGAGATCAAGCTAGGTGTATCGGGATATAGCTTAAAATATTATATTAATTGTATCTGACTATTTAAATCGCCGATTAATGATTATTTAAGGGGGATCGCATATAATTTTAATTTGCAATTAATGTTAATTATTTAGCATGTTTTATATAGTATATTTATATTTTCTATAGTTGATTTATATAAAAATAAAAAAATGTTGGTAAATTCGTTTTTTATTATTTTATAATAGGAAAAATTAGCCTAAGCATACTTTATATTTTTTTAAATGATTAATAGAAATATTTTTTAGATTTTTAATAAATCTAAAATGAGTCAGTCTTAATTTTAATTTTATTGGATCAACATTAGTGTTCTTAAACGGCCGATTTGGGTCTACTTTTAAAAACGGTCGATTAAGATTTTGGCCATAATAATATGTAAGATTCGAGATGGAAGTCCAAAATTTTCCTACTGCGCAAAATATTCAGGCTTACATAATATTGGCTAATAATCAAAATACCTTATAATGTGGTAAATTGGTCCAGCAAGGAAGTGGTTATAAATATTGGTTATTAATTTTTTTAAAATATTATTAAATTTTTAATTGATATCACACATTTAGTAAATAAAAGATATTTGTAAAAAAAATGAAGAAATAATTAATAGGACCAACATTTAAAATGACTTCTATTTAATGATCCTTTTTTTATACCAATAAATTTATAATAAATTGCAACTGTAATATATAAGCGCCGAATTGTCGCCGCGCTAAAGTGATTATGACTATGGGCCAAACTGACGTGGAACCATATAAATTAGGAAATTTAAAGGGGAAAATAAAAAATACCTTTATTGTTCTTTATTCATTATAATATCGTTTTACGTAGCACAATTAGATGAATGTATAATTCTTTGCTTATGTTTATATACAATAAACGTATGATTCACATTAGAAATTGGTTCATCTGATTGTATAATAACAGGAATATTTAACCTTATAATAAATGATCAATATAAATGAAACCTTTATAAATATTGAATTATTGAAAATAACATATTAATTTTGGATAAATATAACCCCGGCCTGAATATTTAAAAAAAATTTAAGGCGCTGTCCTTGTATATTACAAAAAATAAAATAAGGCCCGACTCGTGTACCCGGACCGGACTTAGGCTTGGGCCTACATCTCTGATTTAAATATAAATACAATTAATATAAACAATTTTTATATTTAAATAGGAAATTACTCTGCAAAGAATGTAAAAAAGTTATCAATTCTGACGCATGTATTTGCAAGACCTGTGATACATGGGTTCATAAGTGTTGCCTCAGTGTACCTGATAAATCTTATAGAACTTGGGCTTTATTACAAGCACCATATTTTTGCAGATATTGTTATAAAATAGAAGACTCATTTATGAGATTAAAAATATCCCCTGATGTATCAACGTCTAACAATGAATTAGCCTTAATTAGCATGTACTACAAGCATCCCTCTCGTGAAAATGATAATCAATATGTAGGGAAATTAGATAAAATTTCTAAAAAATTGCTTGAAGCTTTTCGCCCGGAACTACTTAAAAGGTATTCACCTAGGTCTTGCATAGGAGATGGAAACTGCTGCTATAGAGCGCTTTCATTGGCAATTTATGGTGATGAAATTCATCATTTATATATAAGATGCGTAACTGCCATAGAAATGATAATTTATAAGTCAACATACGATATAAATTCTGCCCTATATATATTAAGCAAAAAATACAATGACCTAAATATTTGGGACACTATTTATGATCAATTATTAAAGGACGTTTTGACGCCGATTGAAGGGTGGGCCGAGATGGCTCATTTATATGCTGCAAGCGCAGCTTTACAGATAGGAATTGGGTCCTATCACCTAAATGAAATGATTGTTGCTCATGAAACCAAAGATAATAATCCATATAATCGTGAGGTTTATGGAAGATCTGTACCTATATGGCAACCAGTGGGCATTAATATTTTATGGACAAAAACCTCAATAGGGATAATGCTATGTAATCATATAATATATCTGCAACCTGTATGTAAGACATATAGGGTAAAGAATGATGATAAAGATATTTTGGATATCGAATGTGATAAATATATATATGACCATACTTATTATGATTTTCAAAAGTCTCCACCAACACTCTCTGATGATGGTTCATATATTTCGAGCGAAGAATTTGATTTCTTAGGTATATATCCATTTAAAAAAAATGATAATAAAACCGTGGTTAAATCGATACCATATAATATTACCCATAATTTGAAAACATCACAAGCAAATGAATTTAATGAAGAAATATTAAAAGATTACTCAGATATTTCAGATGAGGATTTATTGAAAATAATAAAAACAGATATATTAGATATATATTATATATCATATATTTCACTTGAACAATCTGTGAAGTATATAGATATTGTTCCAATATATCCATATAAAGTCGATTTGACAGATATAAAGGATATTAAATCGGAAAGGATATACGATGACTATGATTATGAATTGCCGTCACCAAGATTGTGGAATAATAAAAGAATAATACATTCCACGCCTATAAAAGATAAAAATTTAGTGGCTTTTACCGCTAATATATCCGATATTTTAAATGAAGATCTTGTGAAATATTCAGATATCCTTTCTAAAGGTTTACATAAAAAAGAAGAATTATTAAATAAGTCTTTTGAAGATATGAAGGTTAATAAGCTAATAAAGCATGATTCCCTAGATGATAACTGTATTGATAGTGTAATATACACTAAGAATCATTGTAAAGGATTTACATACAATGAATTATTGAATATGTTATTGAAACCAGAAAATATTCTAGAATCAATTCCACAAGGGACTAAAAATAATACTTTTTTTATTGTAAACAATAGTATTAATTTAAAAATGAATAAGGATGGTTTAAAAAGTTGTTTCCCCGATGATTGTGGAGCATGGACAGGTAAAAAAACGGGTGGTAGTAACCGTTATTTTGATTTAGAAAATGGCGAAAGAAAAGGTCCATATATAATGATAGATAAAGTATTTTACATATTAAGAAAAATACATAATTCCAATCATAGATGTACTATAAACCCTCAACCTAATTTAAATAATGTAGTTTGCTTATGTCAATATAGTTGTACATTAAAAAAGGATCTAAAATATAGAAAAAAAATATCATATTTGAAGATATTGCAAGATGAAAGTTCTTTGAAAATAGAACCTACTTTTTTAGTAGAATACATAGGAATATATCCTGGTAAACTGAGGCATGGGAATAGGAAATATGAGAATATTATATATATTCGTACGCCTCCTAGCGTTATAAAGAAAATTAAAAAGGTTGTTATAGATAAACCTACAAGAAAAATTTACAAGGAATTTATAGTTTCAAAAGATATATATAATATACCAAGAAATACAAAACAAATAAGAAACTTAAAATATAACGAATTGCACAAAAATGATACCGATTATAGTAGCAATTTCGCAGATCAAGTTCTGTTAATTTTAAATAATATAAATGATTATCCGATAATCAAAAATATATGTATAAGACCTGATAAAGTTATAGCTATAGTACTTTATACTCGTTTAATGCTTGAAAATATAAAATTTTGTTGTACGGGAAAGCAACGAAGTATTCTTAGCGTTGATAAAACCTACAATTTAAGCGAACTCTTTGTGACGCCTACTGTGTTCAAGCATATAGCTCTTTGTAAAACGGGGTTGAAAGATAAAGTACATCCATTATTTTTCGGTCCAATATTTTTGCACGGTAATTCAGATTACCGGACATATAATATATTTTTTTCTGAGCTACAGGGTGTTTTTAAAAAGCACCAAATTAATGTGGAGAATATTATTTTCGGATCCGACGAAGAATTTGCCATGGTTTCGGCTTTACGTAAAAATTTTAATACTTCCAAACATTTATTATGCACACTTCACATGAGGAGAAATTTGTCAATCTCTTTGAAAAATAGTCAAGGGGTCCCTATGAGATTAAGAGAATATATAAGTAATATGATTTTTGGTGAAAATGGAATAATATATTCCACTGATGACATTATGTTTAGAAAAAAAATGTTAAAATTTCGAAATATTTGCATAGTTAATAAATATGATAAATTTCTTAAGAATATGTTTAAAAGTTTCGAAAAAAAACTTTATGAATACGTGTATATACCTTTAAAGAACAAGTTTATATCACAAGTTTATACTAATAACAACAGTGAATCAATGAATAGTGTCCTAAAGATGATGATAAAAAAGGTTGTTCCTTTGCATACATTAATAACCATTATATCCGACCAAGTCTTTTACTATGAAAAAGAATTAGAACGAGCAGTAATTGGACTAGGAGATTATTATATCGATTCTGATTTAAGTAAACATGATAGGGTATCCCTTTTAAAATTTATAAAGGAATCTACAGCTGAAGTAGGTTCAAATAATCATAAATCAACAACAATCTCTAAATATATTACATCGTCATATGGTAAAATAACGCTGATGAGACCTAAAGGTTCGAAAAAACTATCTCAATTTAGAAGATCTAGAAAATTTAAAAAAAAATTATAAAGTTTATTAAATAATATGGCGTGAAGGATCACGAAAAACATATGTGCTTTTGATGGCGTGATAGATCATGAGGAGATAAAATAAATAATTTATGGCGAGAAAGGTCATTAAAGCACTAAAATGTCTTCTATGACGAGATCGAATATGGGACACCAAATTAATGCTTTTATTGGGGATAAAAACTATGAGGAGACAAAGATTTACATAGTTTCGATATCTGTCGATTGACCCTGGCATTATGGCAATTAAATCTTGGTAAATTATATTCTTATTTATTTATAATTTTATTGAATAAACAAAAACAATATAGAAAGGTTTATAGGGCTTAATGGGGAATTTTTTAAATATATATGACGCCTACTAAATATTTAAATATATTGTAACCTGCCCGTAATATACCTCTATAATTATTTGATTGATTTAATATTAGATTCAAAGTTTAATTTATAATAATTTGAGATAATTTGTTAGGTATCAAGATATTAATATAATTATATATAAGATTACAGATGATAATATTTATATTTTCCATGATGAGAAATGTGATGAAGGCACGATATATATGTCCATACCGATAAAAGTCATAGGGACATAAAATAAGTGATTTGAATGTGAAAAAAATTATGAGGGGAAAAAGGCCACCGTAGATAGTTATGTAGCACTGATAAATTAATATGGTACTAACGATGATGGTAAATTAATTTTTTGTATTATATTTATTTTTCTTTATAAATATATGATATGAATATAGTGAGATTTATTATGATCGAAGATTAGAGGTCTTCATTCAGATAATTTCTAAATAAAATCGGCTACCACGTCTTTTGTTTTAAAAATTTGCTCATTAAAAAATTGTCCTACCACGCCTATAATATAAAATAATTATTTGTTTATTTATATATGTTCTAATTTTGAATAATATGACTTGACCCGCTCACCGAATTAAATTTATTTTAACATTTCTGTTATCTCTATATAATTGAATTAATGTTAAATGCAAAATATATTTGTAAAATATTTTAATAATTTGAGATAATTTTTCAGGTTTATAGATATTAATTTATATTAAAATACACATAGTGTACAAGATAAATAAGAGGGGAATTAATAAATTTAGAAATATTGAGATTCTTTTAGCCATGGCATACCACTCACTAATTTTATTTTAAAAATATGACATTTTAATATGTTATTAGAATGATCGACAAAGAATATTAGAGGGAATTGATATATTAATCTAAGCGTAATTCGGATCTACCTACCCGAGCTTCGAATAAGACAAAAGGATTTATGGTATAACTCATTTTCATTTTAAAATTATGACACAAAATATATATTTTATAAAATGCATTCATAAAAGCATCGTATGAAAATTTCGTATGGAGTTAAAAAGGTTCCCAGCATGATGATCAAAACAACTTATTAAATATTTTACTATTTTAGTTATGTAATTTTTTGAAAATTAATGAATGTATATTTTGTAAATTTATGAACTAAATTAATTATTTATAATAAATATATATATTTAAAAAATAATGGGTCAATAATTATGTTATTTTCTAAATATATATTTACATTTTTTTTATTCTTATATTTTGAAATTGTAAAATAAATAACCTAATTAATATCTAAATAGTCTTTTTTTTTGATATATAGAGAGGATTATGTCTATAAATGATCAAAATTGTAGTCAATTTTATAAATATAATAAGAAATAAATGATATATTATAATAGGTGTTAATGTTTAAATTTTGTTTTCAGGGAAATATAGTGTAAATGTATGGTAAAATAGTTAATAAAATCTAATTTGATTGCCCTAGTTTATTTATTATCATCATTTTGTTTATATCACAGTTAAGTTATCATAATATAACGTTAATTACGGCAATTCTTAGTTTAGTTATTTTAATTTTACCTTATATACGGCAATTCGTAGTTTAGTTATTTTAATTTAACATTAAATACCGCAATTCGTAGTTTATTCATTATAATAAACCATTATATAAGGCAATTCGTCGTTTACTAATTTTAATTTATCATTAAATACGGCAATTCGCAGTTTAGTCATTTTATTTTAACATTAAATACGGCAATTCGCAGTTTAGTCATATTAATTTAACATCATATACTGTTTAGAAAATTTAATTTAACATTATATACGGCTATTAGTAGTTTAGTCATTATAATTAACAACCACAATTCGTAGTTTAGTCATTATAATTTAACATTAAAAATCGCAATTAGTAGTTTAGTCATTATAATTTAACATTATATAACGGCAATTCACAGTTTAGTCATTTTATTTTAACATCATATACTGTTTAGACATTTTAATTTAACATTAAATACGGCAATTCGTAGTTTACTTAATTTAATTTAACATTATAAACCGCAATTCGTAGTTTAGTCATTTTAATTTAACATAATATACTGTTTAGAAAATTTAATTTAACATTAATAACTGCAATGCGTAGCTTAGTCATTTTAATTTAACATTAAATATGGCAATTCGTAGTTTACTAATTTTAATTTAACATTAACAACCGCAATTCGTAGTTTAGTCATTTTTATTTAACATATAATACGGCAATTAGCAGTTTAGTCATTTTAATTTAACATCATATACTGTTTAGAAAATATAATTTAACATTAATTACGGCAATTCGTAGTTTAGTCATTTTAATTTAACATTATATAACGGCAATTCGCAGTTTAGTCATTATAATTAAACATTAAATACTGTTTAGAAAATTTAACATTAATTACGGCAATTCGTAGTTTAGTCATTTTAATTTAACATTAAATATGGCATTTCGTAGTTTACTAATTTTAATTTAACATTAACAACCGCAATTCGTAGTTTAGTCATTTTTATTTAACATATAATACGGCAATTCGCAGTTTAGTCATTTTAATTTAACATTATATACTGTTTAGAAAATTTAATTTAACATTAATTACGGCAATTCGTAATTTAGTCATTTTAATTTAACATTATATACGGCAATTCGCAGTTTAGTCATTTTAATTTAACATCATATACTGTTTAGAAAATTTAATTTAACATTATATACGGCAATTCGTAGTTTAGTCATTATAATTTAACATTAACAATCGCAATTAGTAGTTTAGTGTATATAATTAAACATTATATAACGGCAATTCGCAGTTTAGTCATTTTATTTTAACATCATATACTGTTTAGACAATTTAATTTAACATTAAATACGGCAATTCGTAGTTTACTTAATTTAATTTAAGATTATAAACCGCAATTCGTAGTTTAGTCATTATAATTTAACATTAAATATGGCAATTCGTAGTTTAGTCATTTTAATTTAACATAATATACTGTTTAGAAAATTTAATTTAACATTAATTACGGCAATTCGTTGTTTAGTCATTTTAATTTAACATTATATAACGGCAATTCGTAGATTAGTCATTTTAATTTAACATAATATACTGTTTAGAAAATTTAATTTAACATTAATTACGGCAATGCGTAGTTTAGTCATTTTAATTTAACACTAAATATGGCAATTCGTAGTTTACTCATTATAATTTAACATCAACAACCGCAATTCGTAGTTTAGTCATTTTAATTTAACATTATATAATGGTAATTCGCAGTTTAGTCATTATAATTAAACATTAAATACTGCTTAGAAAATTTAATATTAATTACGGCAATTCGTAGTTTAGTCATTTTAATTTAACATTAAATATGGCAATTCGTAGTTTACTAATTTTAATTTAACATTAACAACCGCAATTCGTAGTTTAGTCATTTTTATTTAACATATAATACGGCAATTCGCAGTTTAGTCATTTTAATTTAACATTATATACTGTTTAGAAAATTTAATTTAACATTAATTACGGCAATTCGTAATTTAGTCATTTTAATTTAACATTATATACGGCAATTCGCAGTTTAGTCATTTTAATTTAACATCATATACTGTTTAGAAAATTTAATTTAACATTATATACGGCAATTCGTAGTTTAGTCATTATAATTTAACATTAAAAATCGCAATTAGTAGTTTAGTCATTATAATTTAACATTATATAACGGCAATTCACAGTTTAGTCATTTTATTTTAACATCATATACTGTTTAGACATTTTAATTTAACATTAAATACGGCAATTCGTAGTTTACTTAATTTAATTTAACATTATAAACCGCAATTCGTAGTTTAGTCATTTTAATTTAACATAATATACTGTTTAGAAAATTAAATTTAACATTAATTACGGCAATGCGTAGCTTAGTCATTTTAATTTAACATTAAATATGGCAATTCGTAGTTTACTCATTATAATTTAACATCAACAACCGCAATTCGTAGTTTAGTCATTATAATTAAACATTAAATACGGCAATTGGCAGTTTAGTCATTTTAATTTAACATCATATACTGTTTAGAAAATATAATTTAACATTAATTACGGCAATTCGTAGTTTAGTCATTTTAATTTAACATTATATAACGGCAATTCGCAGTTTAGTCATTATAATTAAACATTAAATACTGTTTAGAAAATTTAACATTAATTACGACAATTCGTAGTTTAGTCATTTTAATTTAACATTAAATATGGCAATTCGTAGTTTACTAATTTTAATTTAACATTAACAACCGCAATTCGTAGTTTAGTCATTTTTATTTAACATATAATACGGCAATTCGCAGTTTAGTCATTTTAATTTAACATTATATACTGTTTAGAAAATTTAATTTAACAGTAATTACGGCAATTCGTAGTTTAGTCATTTTAATTTAACATTATATACGGCAATTCGCAGTTTAGTCATTTTAATTTAACATCATATACTGTTTAGAAAATTTAATTTAACATTATATACGGCAATTCGTAGTTTAGTCATTATAATTTAACATTAACAATCGCAATTAGTAGTTTAGTGTTTATAATTAAACATTATATAACGGCAATTCGCAGTTTAGTCATTTTATTTTAACATCATATACTGTTTAGACAATTTAATTTAACATTAAATATGGCAATTCGTTGTTTAGTCATTTTAATTTAACATAATATACTGTTTAGAAAATTTAATTTAACATTAATTACGGCAATTCGTTGTTTAGTCATTTTAATTTAACATTATATAACGGCAATTCGTAGTTTACTAATTTTAATTTATCATTAAATGCGGCAATTCGCAGTTTAGTCATTTTATTTTAACATTAAATACGGCAATTCGCAGTTTAGTCATTTTAATTTAACATAAAATACGGCAATTCGTAATTTATTCATTTTAATTTAACATTATATACCGCAATTCGTAGTTTATTCATTATATTTAAACATTATATATGCCAATTCGTAGTTTACTCATTTTAATTTATCATTAAATACGGCAATTCGCAGTTTAGTCATTTTATTTAAACATTAAATACAGCAATTCGCAGTTTAGTCATTTTAATTTAACATAAAATACGGCAATTCGTAGTTTATTTTATTTAATTTAACATTATATACGGCAATTCGTAGTTTAGTCATCCAATCTTCCATAATTTTATCTAAATTTAACATTAAATACGGCAATTCGTAGTTTACTTAATTTAATTTAACATTATAAACCGCAATTCGTAGTTTAGTCATTTTAATTTAACATAATATACTATTTAGAAAATTTAATTTAACATTAATTACGGCAATTCGTAGTTGTCATTTTAATTTAACATTATATAACGGCAATTCGCAGTTTAGTCATTTTAATTTAACATAAAATACGGCAATTCGTAGTTTAGTCACTTTATTTTAATATTAAATACGGCAATTCGTAGTTTAGTCTCTTTATTTTAAGATTAGATACGGCAATTCGTAGTTTAGTCACTTTATTTTAAGATTAGATACGGCAATTCGTAGTTTAGTCATTTTATTTTAACATTAAATACGGCAATTCGCAGTTTAGTCATTTTAATTTAACATAAAATACGGCAATTCGTAGTTTATTCTATTTAATTTAACATTATATACGGCAATTCGTAGTTTAGTCATCCAATTTAACATTATATACGGCAATTCGTAGTTTAGTCATTATAATTTAACATTAACAATCGCAATTAGTAGTTTAGTGTTTATAATTAAACATTATATAACGGCAATTCGCAGTTTAGTCATTTTATTTTAACATCATATACTGTTTAGACAATTTAATTTAACATTAAATATGGCAATTCGTTGTTTAGTCATTTTAATTTAACATAATATACTGTTTAGAAAATTTAATTTAACATTAATTACGGCAATTCGTTGTTTAGTCATTTTAATTTAACATTATATAACGGCAATTCGTAGTTTACTAATTTTAATTTATCATTAAATGCGGCAATTCGCAGTTTAGTCATTTTATTTTAACATTAAATACGGCAATTCGCAGTTTAGTCATTTTAATTTAACATAAAATACGGCAATTCGTAATTTATTCATTTTAATTTAACATTAAATACCGCAATTCGTAGTTTATTCATTATATTTAAACATTATAT